CTTGACAAGTTTACTACTGAAAGACTGCTGCTATATTGGGTAGAAAGTACAATGTTGTGTGTTGTGGCTTTTTTAGAAAGCCTTAGCTTAAATGACTCAACTTCAGGGAAAATTCTAGAAGCAAGAGCAGCACAAAGGTCTGAAATCCAAAAGTGTGAGTATAATATTTTTGCAAATTCCTGGATGATCAATAAAATATGACCCCAGGAAGGCTGGTGAAAAAGCAGGGAGAAAATAAAGATGGGTTTGCTTTTGAATGAAAGAATTGCTTCTGGGGAAATATTGTAGTTATGCCTTTTATTGAGTGCATTTCCTAGTCCACAGAGAGCTTGGATGGCAGAGAATAGAAATCTTATTAGATTGACCTGTCAGAAGACAGAATTCTGGGATGGAAAAGTGACTGGAAATTTACTAGGAGGGCCTGAAGGCAAGAAACCACCAAAAGAGTGAACCCCCAAATCTAAGCATCGACTCAGCTAAATTTCTTGGCAGACATCTAAACTAATAGGGACAGAGGAGACCAACATGGAGGCTAGACTTAAAAGCAGCATCTGGAAGCCAAGAAAACTTGGCCGGAGTTATCTTCTCCAGACCACGGGGAAGACAAATTTTAGTTTGGATCTAGGCAAGTTAATGACTTACTAGAACCAAAAACCAATAATCCTAAGAAGAAAAGAGATCTTAGATTCACTACAACATACTCTCTTATGGACAGAATGTATCTCCCCCAAATTCATATGTAAGGCCTAACCCCTACTTTAGCTGTATTTGGAAATAGGGTCTCTGAGGAAGTAGTTGAGGTTAGATGAGGTCATAAGGGTGGGAAACTGATCCAAAAGGCTTGGTGTTCTTATAAGAGAGACTAGAAAACTTTATTTCCCCCCACCCTGCCACATACACACTAGGAAAGGCCATATGGTGACATAGTGAGAAGATGGCTGCTGCAAGCCAGGAAGAGAATACTCATCAACTGAACCTTGAGCTTGGATTTCTAGCCTCCAGAACTATGAAACCTGGAAAGTAAATTTCTGTTTTCTAAGCCAGCCGATTAAGGTATTTTGTTACGACAGCCTGAGCTACTGAGCTAACTAACATATTATCTATCATGACAAGTTTGGAACAAAAAATTACTAGCTGTGGAAATAAATTGGAAAATGTAACTCATATGCAGGAAAAAAAAATACACCAATACCAACTGATTGCAAGTGGGTCAAGATATTAAATTAGCACAAATATCAAAGTAGCTGTTATATTCAATGAATTAAAAATATATTCAAAGGTTGGAAAAAGTTTATTGTACATTGAATTACTGATTTTTTTAACAGACAAATGGGAACTAGAAAAATAAGCCAATGGAAATTCTAAAGCTAAAAATTATAATAACTGAAAATAAAAAGTGCCTAGGTGAGCTCAAAAACAGACTGAAAATAGCATAAGAAAGACTCAGTTAACTTAATATAGTTTACTGGAAACTATACATTCCAAAGGGCAGAAATAAAAATAGATCAAAGAAAAATGAACAGAGCTTCTTTAGAGAACACTGGAGCGTATCATGGGGTCCAACATATGTGTAATTGGAGTCAAGAGTCAAAAAGAAAGAGAAAGGGACACAAAATGTATTTCCAGAAATAAACAGAATGCTTCTGAAATTTGATTACAAGTATTAACTTACAGATAAAAGAGACTCAATGACCCTCATTTGGAAAATAAAGAAAAGCTGTACCTACACCCCTCATGTTTAAGATGTTAGAAATCAAAGATAAAAGAGAAAATCTTGAAGATCACAAGAGAGGAAATGACTCATCACTTATAGTTATGATACAATTATAAGTTGACTTCTAATTAGAAATAGTGGACACAAGGAGACATTAGAATGAAATATTCAAAGTGCTGAAAGAACAACCACCACCACCAAAAAGTCAGCCAAGATTTCTATTTTCAGTCAAGTTGTCCTTCAAAAGTGAAGGAGATTTTCCAATAGACAAATTGAGAGAATTTGTCACACCACTAAAGGAAGACCTATACCACTAAAGGAAGACCTTCAAGTTGAAAGGTAATCAGCTATACAAAAGGAATAAGGGAGACTATAAATTGTAAATAACTTTAAGTAAGAAAATATTTATTTATAGTTTTATTTCCTAATTTTTCTAAAATACCTGTGACTATGTAAAGGAAATTTTTAACACTATATTATTTGGCTTGTAACATAGATGATGTATTATGCATAACAGTGATAACACAAAGGATGGAGGGTGCTAAATAAAAACTACACTGTTGCAAGTTTCCCATATATCATCAAAGAATGTCAATATTTAAGTAGATTGAAATAATTTAAAGTTTAATGTTTTAATTCCTAAAATGACCATTTAAAAATGTGAAGAATTATAGCTAAAGAAGTAAAAGAAAATTTAAATTAAGAAAAGAAAAAGGAAGTGGGAAAGATGAACAGAGGAAGTGAAGCAAACAAAAGAAGAATAGCAAAATATCAGAAAGATATCCAGTCACACTGATAATTACATTCAATGTAAGTCGACTTCAGTCAATAAAGATTACTATACCAAATAAAAAAGCAACCCTCGGGACACCTGGGTGGCTCAGTTGGTTAAGTGGCTGCCTTTGGCTCAGGTCATGATCCCAGCATCCTGGGATCGAGTCCCACATCGGGCTCCTTGCTCATTGGGGAGCCTGCTTCTCCCTCTGCCTCTGTCTGCCTGTGCTTGCTCTCTCTCCCTCTCTCTCTCTCTCTGACAAATAAATAAATAAAATCTTTAAAAAAAAAAAGCAACCCTCATATTTTTATATAAGTATGTTTTGAAAATAAAATAATAGAAAAAAATGTAACATGCAAAGATAAACATGAAAGCTAAAGTAGCTATATTAATATGATTTGGTAGACTTATTACAAGGATTATTACTAGAGACAAAGGTAGAGATTTCATGATGATAAAGGGTCAATACAGTGGGAAGATATAACAGTTATAAATGTGAATGCATCGAATAACAGAATTCCAAAACTTAAAGAAAATCTTAACTGCAAGGAAAAATAGGTAAATTAACAATTACAGTTGGAGATGATATTATCACTCAGTGATTGATATACTAACTTGATAGGAATCCCATAAAGATACATAAGAATTAAACAATACCCTTAGCTAATTCGACCTAATTGATATTTATAAAATATTATAAAATATAAAGAATATTTCTTTTCAAAATTTTATGAAGTATTTAGCAATGTAGATCATATCCTGGGCAATAAAACACAGTATCAATACTTCTAAAAGAACCTTTAAATGTCATTAAAAGTACATTCTCTGACTATGATATAACTAAATTAGAAATCAGTATTAAAGATATGTGGAAAATCCCCATATAGTTGGAAATTAAATAATATATATTTTTTTCAAACATTTATAAATATTTCAATTTATAGAAAATTAATGGAATCTTAAAATTATCTGAACAGTGATTTAACAATTATTTACAATTAACTGATTTTGTAGAAACATAATTATGTTGAAAAGTACCCTCATCACAAAGTAATCATTTCACAGTACCTTCTATAATATTTTTGTCACTCAAGTGGCAGCTGCAGCAATGAAACCCAAGTAGATTGAATAATTTAGAAACAGCATAATCAGAACTGCAAATGCAAGCCACCATTAACGCCAAACAAAACAAGACCTTCTATACTTATATATAAATATTTCCCCATTTTCAGCACTGGTTGAAGAAAATATTAGGAGATAGTATTTTATTTGTAGTAAACAGAAATTAATTTTAGGATTTTAAAAAATTGACATTAAGATGCTGGATTAGGTGGGTTTTTATAACATGTAATACTATTTTGAGAAATTCTTGGTTTCACTGGAAGCCATTTCTAATTGCAAACCTTTCTTCAGTTGTATTAGGACAGTAATGGTGATAAGTCTCTGTGATCCCAAATAGAAATTATACTTGCTTACAAGCAACTAATAACATATTTGGATATAAAGAGATTTTTGGCTTTATTCCTAAGGTTTTCTTCTACTTCAGTGTTTAACCTTTTTTGCTATCCCCTCTAAACAATCCCAAATATTTCTAAAATTATGTCAAAGGAAGATAACTTTATATGGACTACTGCTTGTTTGAAAACAGTATTTACCGTAGTATTCCATAGTTTTGTCTTTTTCCTTTTTTTTTAAAGACATATCCAGCTAAAACAATTAAATAAAAAGGTAAGGTATAAGAAATATAGCTGAAGTCACGATAAAGTACATTTTCTTTTATTGACTAAGAGCATATACTTAAACTTTAAATGCTCGCTCTCTTAAGAAAAAGTTTCTCCATGTAAATATGCATAACCGTAGCCCAAAAATGTATACAGTGATTTCCCCAAAATATTTATACACACAGTGGTCCACTTAAGACCAGCCCCATTATAACCTACTGAATACAATGTGCTCTGAATTTATATATGGGCTACCCTCTGTATATAAAATATGTAGGCATGTATGTTAGACATACAAGTAAGAAATATAAAAAGGAGAGATGAAAAGAAAAAGTGTTCTTCCCTGTAAGATCCAGACAGATATTCAGTGTATTAGTGAGATCATGTAAAATGTACTCTTGATTTATAAATGGGCTGCCCTCACTATATAAAATATATATAGGCATGTATGTTATACATACAAAGTGAAAAATATAAAAAGGAGAGATGAAAAAAGAAAGGAAAAAGTGTCCTTCCCTAGAAGATCCAGACAGCAATTCAGTGAATGTGTGAGACCACGTAAAGTATCTGAAGAATTTCAGTTTTGGCAAATACTTTTCTGGAAAATGTCTAAGCTATGAGAGTACTCAATTTGCATTTTAAGAATTCCATAGAGGTGTCCATTTAACCATTTGGGGAAGATGTTGTGGCTTCCTTAATATGCAGAAAAGAGGACTTTTAGGGACTGTTAAAAAGAAATGGAACAAAAAGCCACTCATTTTTAGCTGGTTAGTAATCACCCCTTAGTCAAGTGTGTGTAGTGCAGAGAACCAAATCCTAGACCATCATCAGCATTTGAGTGTGTTTGATGAAAGATTCCAATGAAATGAAGGACCTGAATTCTTCCTAGATCTCATAGGGAATGGGACAGGACACGATGGCAAAGGAGGGGTCAGCCCTCAAGGTGGCTGGTCCAATCTTAACTCTTGATGTTAAAAAACACACCAAATGTTTCTATAGCATTCTTTCTGCTGCATTTTCTTTATTTCAAGACACAGGTCTACGTGGAGGGTCATGCAGCAAGTGGCTTATAAATAAAATCAGAGTCTATGAATAGTGTCATCACATTAAGAGACAATCGCTGGATTCTCTCATTAGGCAAAGAACTCGCATCTTTGGAATCCGTGAGTTGGTATCATTTATGGGATACCTGAGATGTACCTTGCTCCGATTAACATTACCATGCTACTCACTATAAAAAAGCCCAAGGGTAGACTACAGAAGATACTAGGGTCACCACTTTCTGAAGACTGAGTTGTAACCCAGCCCACTGACTTCATCACAGCTTTCTTCCATGTAGAGTAACGAATTTCACTTTCTTCAGCATTGATCTGTGGTTCAAACCGCTCCATTGTGACCGCTGACAGATCCTCGGGTTCGAGACTCCAAACGCCAACTCCTTCCGCGGCCCCCGCCGCCATGGCCGCTCCCAGGGCAGTTGTTTCTGGCATTGAAGGCTTCACTACTGGGATATACAGAATGTCTGCCTGAAGCTGCATAAGAATTTTGTTGTTGGTCATTCCTCCGTCTACCTGCAAATGACTGAGTGGAATTCCACAGTCGCGGTTCATGGCATCCAAAATCTCCCGGGTTTGGAAACAAACAGCTTCTAATGCAGCAAAAGCAATATGGCATTTATTGGTGAACTGAGTAAGCCCACAGATGATCCCTCTTGCACTGGGCTCCCAGTAAGGTGCATACAACCCCGAAAACGCGGGGACGAAGTAGCAGCCGTAAGAGGTACCTACTACTTTAGCAAGTTTTTCGATTTCCTCTGAGGTCTTTATAATTCCAAGATTGTCTCTTAGCCAGCGAATAACAGCACCAGCTATAGCTACAGAACCTTCCAAGGCATAATATACTGGTTTGTCTCTGCCAAACTTATAAGCCACTGTGGTCAGAAGGCCATGCTCAGAAAACACACACTTGCGGCCTGTATTACATAGTAAGAAACAGCCTGTTCCATACGTATTTTTGGCTTGACCATCCTGGAAGCACATTTGTCCCACCAATGCAGCAGACTGGTCCCCCAAACACCCAGATATTGGCACACCTTCCAAGGCCCCAGCTTTCAGGCTATGAGAGATTTTCATTAGGCCATAGATCTCAGAAGAACTCCGGACATTTGGAAGAATCTTCATCGGAATTTCAAAAAATTCGCAGAGCTCTTTATCCCATGCCAGAGAGTGAATGTTGAAAAGCATTGTCCTACTTGCATTTGTTACATCCGTACAGTGGACACCTCCATTGGCCCCTCCTGTCAAACTCCAAATAAGCCATGAATCAATGGTCCCAAAAAGAGCTCTATCTTCTTCAACAGCCCTTTGAACTTTTCTCACATTGTCAAGGAGCCACCGAAGTTTCACCGCACTGAAGTAAGTGCTAAGTGGAAGGCCTGTCTTGGACTTGACAAAGTTATTATTTCCTGGAATTCTTTTACTAAGATTCTCAACGGTAGACTGGGTTCTTAGGTCAAGCCACACCACAGCATTGTAGAGAGGCTCTCCGGTTAACTTGTCCCAGACTACAGTGGTTTCCCTCTGGTTACTGACACCAATAGCTTTTATGTTGGAAATATCAATATTGAGCTGTCCAAGTTTCTCACATGTTTTCTCTATACACTCATAGACAGACTGCAGAATTTCCTTAGGATCTTGTTCCACCCATCCTTCTCTTGGAAACTCTTGTTTTATTTCCACTTGATGATGACTAAGTAGTTCGGCTGTTTTTGAATTGAAAACCAAAAAGCGCGTTGAGCTGGTGCCCTGGTCCACTGCCCCCACCAGTGGCCCCAAAACTGCTTTCTTCGCGGCTGCCATGAAACCAGCTTCAGGTCAGCTGGCTATCGCGGCCGTTTCCCCGGTGACGGCAGCGGGCGGGGGAGGGGCAGACGGCGAGCCGTTAAGGCGAGGCGGCGTGCACGGCAGAACCTAAATAATATACTTTTAAATAACTTATGGGTTAAAAAGGAAAAGGAAATGAGAAAATATCTTGAAATGAATAAAATTTAAGACACAGCATATCAAAATTTGTGGGTGGCTGCTAACATGGTGCTTGAGGGGAAATGTAACAGTAAATGTTTTCTTACAAAAGAAGACAGGATGAGAGTTAATTATTTAAGTTGCCACCTTAAGTAAGAGACTCAGAAAACAGGAGGAAATGAACTCTAATGTAAGTCAAAAGAAGGAACTAGTAAGCATAAGAATGGAAGTTACTGTAATTAAATAGAAAAAAAGAGGAATGAAACAAAGAAGCTTAATGAATGCAAAAGTCGATTTTTGAAAGAGAAAAAATTTGATACTAACTCAGCTAATTGAACAAAAATTAGAAAATAGATTACTGATATCAAGAATAAAAAATGAGATGATTATCAACAACTTAATGCCAATTTCACAAATTTAATGAAGTGGACAGAATTCTTGAAAAATAAAAATTCCAAAAAATTTCAAGATGAATTAAAGAATTGGAATGACTTCATATCAGTGAATATAGATCATTGAAATTTGTAATTTAGAATATTTCCATTAAGGAATTCTGGGCCCTTATGGCTTCTCTGGCAAATTCTAGCAAGTATTTAAGAAATACATACTACCAATTTTTACAGATTCTTTTAAGAAATCATTACCTTATAGGCTACTTGGTGGAAAATGGACTATAAAGAAGCAAGAGTTGAAACAGGGAGACTGGTAGGAGTTTGTTTATAAAGTATGCATTAAATTGATGATGAATCAAATTTGAGTTGTGGCAGTGGAGTTGGAAAGAGTGGTGTAAGGGGATATATTTAAGAAAAGGCAGAACTTACTGAGTTTTGACAGATGTGGGATATGGGAGAACAATCAATATGCCTCCTTAATCTTTGTCCCAAGCAATAAAATCCATGAGAGAGCTATTAACTACAATACAAGAGATTTGAAAAAAGTATATTTGAGGGTGAGGGAGTAACAAAGAATTTTAGTTTGTATGTGTTTTGTTCAAGATGCTTCTTGAGATTTCCAAAGGAATAATTGATGGAATGGTCTTGTGTTTAGTGGAGAGATTGTGGATGAAGACATGAATTTAGGAATCATCAGCATTTAGAAAATTTTGCTAATGAACTGGATGAGATCATCTAGGCAATGAATGTAGATGGAGGTGAACAGATTGCTAAGGTCTACTAGTCTTTTAGAAGCTCATGTGAGCGAGAGAAGACAGCAAATAGTGTGACTCTTCAATAGTCTTTGTTTCTTTATGTCTCTTCCTAAATTCTATTTCACATTCAAAACTTACTTCTGACAGCCATATTCACTCAAGACACCGTGATTTTTTTCCCTTCACTTTGACTATGCAGTGGCCACCCTTTGCTTTTCCTCTCTCTCCAGGCTAAAATCATTCCCATTTTGGATCTCTATAATTGCTATTTTTCTCTTTCTGGAGCATTCCTTCCACTGGTCTCCCTACAGTAGATTTGATCACATTCAGAATTCAGTTCACGTTATTCCAAACTCAGAGAGGCCTCCCTGCTTCCCTTCCCCGCCAAAGCTACTCTTTCATTCTATCCTATTATCTGATTTAATTTGCACCAAAACCATTTCATTATTTTAAAAATTTTTATTATTAATTAGCATTTTATTCCCTCTTTTTTCTTGTTTTCCCTCATTCTAAATATTTGTGTTCTCCAGGATCTGACTTCAACCTTCTTATATTTTACATTATATTTCTTCTCACTTTAGAATGTATTAACTCTTTAGTATGCCACCTGTGTTATTCATTTCTGTATCAGCAGCTTCTAGAACAGTGTCTATCTGGCACATCATAGGTGCTCAGCAAACGTGTTTTGAATTTGAATGAAAATGTGAGTGAATATGAGGACTTTTGATCTTAGTTACCTAAAATGACTAATTTCAGTTTGACTTACCATACATTTTCACCCATCTTCATCTGTCTTTTTTCCCCCAGTGAGAAATTTCTTCATCCTCTCCAAGACTGAGCTCTTTTGATGTTTTCTTGATCCCCTATTTCACTACCTTCAGGTGCTAGTTCTTTGAATTATAATCTGTTTTAGTTTTCAGTTACCCTTTATTTACATTCACTACTTTTTTCAGCCTTCTCATAGATTCAAAACAGTAACAATCAAGGACTTTCCTTTGTTCTTGCCATTTTCTCAAGCTAACATACTTTCCTTCATTACTTTTGTGGCTAAACTTATTGAAAGAGTATCACCATTGGACCTTAAAGTCAAGCTCAAGTACTGATTCTGACCTATGTACCAATGTTTTTATTCTAAGATTGCCAATAATTCCTAGTTCCTAAACTCAATGATCTCTCTTAACGTCCCTACCTCAGACACTCAGCAGCACTTGATACTCTTGTTTATCCTTTCATTTTTGCAGCTCCTTTGTCCTTTGGTTCTCATCCTCATCTCTGAATTTTCATCCCAATCTCAGTCATTGTCTGAGTTTCCTTATTTTACCTGCAAAGAGAAGATGTTCTTTAAGGATCCTCTCCTCCACCTTCTTCCACTGGCAACTTCATTTTGGGTCATGGTTTTGATAATTAACAATGTGCCAATAGTTATTGATCTACAGTTTGAGGTTTTATTGCAGAGATCCAGATTCTTATTTCCACTGTTTTTATGGGGTGCTTTGACCTGAAGTTCTTGCCATAACTTCAAAGTCAGTATTTCTCAAATGAAACCTATCATCATTCTTCCCAAACACGTGCTTCTCACTATGCATTGGTACTCCTCTACCTAGTCTTTGGAACTGTGGTATTTCCTTTGATCTCTCTCTTTATTCATCTTCCTGTTAAACTATTTATCAAGTCCTGTTTATTCTAGCTCTGTTAGATCTATAAACTTCTCCCTTCTCTACATTTTCATTGGTACTACTCTGTTTAGGCACAACACTTCCTTTGGACTTTGAATGATTGACTGTATTCTGTTATTTCCAGATGAATTGTCTTCTTCTCTCATCCATGTTGCAGTTAGCAGATGGATTAACTTTACTAAAACACAAATCTAATAATGTTGCAAATTTCACCATTAATAGTAATAATAGCAAAAACTTATTAAGTGCTTACTGCTTGCTAGGCCACTTCTTTAAATGTTTTTCAATGATCTCTTACACAAATATTGCAACACAGATACTCTTAATGTCCTCATTCTTAATATCTTTCTTCAGAAGAGGAAACTGAAACACAGGAAGAAGTAATATGCCCATAGTGACACTGTGTTAAGGCTAGTATTTGATGATTTTAGCCAGCACACTATGTACCGCCTTAGCAATAAAGCCTGAAGACTCTTTGTCTACACAGGACTGTCTGTGAATTTGATTCAATTGACTCTATTTTAATTGAAAAGAATTTACTCTTATCTTAAGCAATACTGTCAGTGATATAACAGAATTTATGTGCTAGTAATATTTTTTCCATACTCATAAAATACATATAAAGCGGTTAAAATAAAAAATTACATCAGTGTATCACTTAAAATCATACCACATGCCATACTTTAGGACATACCTATCTGCAAAACAAAGTTAAAATCATTATGCTGTTATGCAGATATTTTTCACCACTCATTTTTTAATGATAATTGCTACTTAAATATGTAATATTATTTCCTACTTCTACCCTTTATTCTCCCACAGGTAAAAATAAGTAAATAAATAAATGCCATTCTTCCTCTATATATCCCACTTCTTCTGGGTTCTTGATTTTTGTTCATGCAAACAAAACCTTATCTTTAGTACTCTATTAAGTGAACTTTCACATGTAGTGCTAAGTTTATTTTATTTTTTAGTAATTTCTACATCCAACATGGGGCTCAAACTTAAGATCCCAAGATCAAGAGTTGCATGTTCTTCTAACTAGTCAACGGGATGCCCCTGAATGTCAAAATTATTTCCATTCTTTCCACTTATGCAGATTCAGCTAAGTGGTTTTAATAGATTCCTTAACTGGATAGGATATTTCTGTATCCTAAACCAGTGCTTTCCAGTGAGCCTCTTCACAATGATGGAAATAGACTTCCAGTACAGAGACTATTAAACACATATGGCTGAGGAGCACCTGAAATATGGCTAGTGAGACTGAGGAATTAAATTTTTGGTTTTATTTAACTTTAATTAATCAAAGTTAAAATTTAAAAAGCCACAGATGGCTAATGGCTCCTGTAGTAGGTAGTACAACTGAATGACCAATATATTTTAAAAAATTGTTACTGTAGCATATAAATATATTTTATTGTTTATAGTTTCCTGGAAGGAAGAATCTTCATTTTATTTTTGTGTGTGTATTCTAATGCATCTAGCACATTTCTTCGTATGTCAAAGAACACAATAGATATTTGTTCTGTGACTAAATGAATGGATGACTATCTGTTAACTTTGCTTAATTGTGTTAGTACCAGTGATATCAAAAGTTGTTCCATAATTTAATTTTTTTCAATATAACTGGTAAAATAAATGCTTATAAAATAAACAACTGGCTTTCATCTTTGCAATTGCTTATATGATTCGATTCTTTAATAAAAAGTGCTTTCATTTCATCAGTTCATCCTTATTTTTTCCTGACATTGCTAGAAATGAAAACATCTATTTTGTTTACAAGCTCAATTTCAAGTCAGCCAGACTGCAAATCCCCAGATTTACTATAGCTCAGTCAACAAACCCTGGAATATGTCCACCTAGATTCACTATGGTTCTAATCAGCCTTTTGCACATGGAATGCTCCCCATGTGGCTTAGACCCCTGTGACACTCATCTCTTTCTAATGCAAGTGCCTGCTTCTCCCTCTGCTGGTTCAGAATAAACGCCTTGTCAAAAAAAAAAAAAAAAAAAAAAAAAAAAAGAATTAGATCTTGACAGCTTTTTTTCCTCTGGTTAATTGAGGTGATAGATATACTTGACATTTATCTAAGTATAGAATAGAAGA